GGTCGGGGCTGCCTGAGCCCGCTCCGCTAGGCATGGACCTTCCTCTCCCCTTGTCGTCCCCGCGGGAGGAGCGGCGAGACTTTCGGCGATGGCTTCGGGGGGCTCGGAGGCGGCGACGCAGCGGGTGGCAGAGCTGGAGGAGGAGCTGCGGGGGCTGGCGGAGCGGCTGAGCCGCTGCCAGGTACCTGAGCGCGGGGCGAAGGCTGCCCGGGGCCGAGCTGGCGCGTCCCGTTTGAGGCCGCGGGTTCGCGTCCGCTCCCGGCGGGCGAGGGGGAGGAGCAGGGCTGTGGGCTTGGGCCCTTATCCTCGATGAAACCACCTGTCCTGAAGCTGTTTTGTTCACCCTTCCAGAAGCCACGGCTCGCTAGAATTGAAATGGCAAAAGTCCCGAGGTACTGGCTTGTGCAACTTCGGGGAAAAATGAACAGGGTTTTAGAGGATTTTAAGTCTTGAAGGAACCTTTGGAGTTAATTTTATCTCTCCGTCAGCCTTGCAACAGGATTAAATATACCCAAGCTCTTTCTGGGAATTGAAGGCTTAATGAGTAACTATGGGTGTACTTTAAAAAGTTCCTCTGCGTCTTGCCCTGTGGCCTCCCTTCATAGATACACTTCCCTAATTTTTTCCAGTTGGTCGTTCATCACTGATAGTTAGGTATATTTATGAAAAACATAAAAACGTTGGTAATGTGAAGTCCTGTTCTAGGCGAAAATTCTCTGCAAAACACATGGATTACACCAAAAGTATGTTCTGAGAGGAAGGTGACACCTAATGCTGCAGGTAACCAAAACAGTATTTTCACCTGGGATGTGGTCTGGTTAAAGCCATGAAGGTCTGGGCTGGTGGAAACATCCATCTGAAAGTCAGAAGAGGTGCCCTGCTTCAAGCAGCATTGCTATTGGTGACGTGACAACTGGTGTTGGATTCCTCCCATGGGTAGAATCAAGGCTTCTTGAGAAAACATACTGCATAGGAGATCAGTGGGGAGAAGGACCTGCCAGTGAAAATCCTGTTTGGAAATGCTGAACAATGCTATATGCTTTGGGGACATCTTCTATGTCTTGTGAGAAAAGTTAAAGAAGCTCTCTATAAAGATATGGTTTACTGATCCTGGTATGCAGATGTGCGCTATCTGACAAAATTTGGTAGAGGCAGAAGGAAGTCCTGTGCTCTGCTCGTTTGCTAGTTGAATGTAAACTATGTATTGCTAAAACCTTGTAGCATATAGTATTTTTGAAGAGTGTTGTACATACTAGGAACTTTGAAGAAACAGTACAAATATGAATTTCTGATCACTTTGATAACTTGATGTTATAACTTGATAACTACAAATTGTAGTTAAGCATCTGATTTCCCCTTTAGATTAATTTCAATTATGTGTCTATTTCTACTTGTTCCTTGATGAACACACTCCACATGTGTTGAAGTCAGCAAACAGAAAATGTTTTCAGATGTATTTATTTTAAGTTTCTTGCATATTATCTTGCCATTCTTGGATCTTTGTCTTTTGTCAGATCAAATAGCTTTTGTGAGCAAAGCAGACAAAAAAAGAGCAGGAAGATAATTACTGTTTTTGAAAACAGAACCCAGTCAGTGTCCTGCAGTAATCTCTCTCCAGCTTTAGGTAGAATCCAATGCATAGCAACCTTCTAATGAGAGGGGATGCATGTGTTCAGGATTTATTTCAGATTATTAATAAAATAAAAAAAAAGTGAAGCAACAACCTAACCTCTAAGCAGAGATTCTCTGAAAGCATGCAGTGTAGGCATCTACATGCTTTACCATTTTGCTAATCTATCAATACAGTTGACAGGTTTATGCTTGTGTATGTTACATAAAGAAGGGGGAAGACAAATTTTAGTTAAAAAAAGTTAAATAAGTTAAAATTATAATTGCCTTGTCTGTTTGGCAGCTTTTTCAGTATGGCATTTATTGAAGGTGATTAATTTTGTAAAGAAAGTTTTGTGAAGATATTCTGAATTTGAGTGGGAACTAAAATGGCTTGATTTACTGAATGGACTTCAGTAAGATTCTTCAATGGTTTGAAAGGCAGCTCATGAAATTACTTGTAGATAGTTAATCTATTTTAAGGTCATATTTCATGTGAAAACTTTTTGCAAGGACAAGTCCTTTGAAAGCATAAATACGTATGGGCAATGTTAATGTGTTTTTCTAGCATCTTCACAGCTGAAATACAAAGTTGTTGCTGACCAGCTAATTTCTTGAGCATAATTTCATTTGATCTGTTGTGGTTTACTTTATTTCCTTTAGTACTAAGAACTTCTTTTGTTTCTGTGCAGTCTCCTAATATTTACAGGTCTTGTTAATCAGAATTGTGAAACCATCTAGGTTGGAAGGGAATTCTTGAGAGCATCTGAGAGCATCTATTGCATCCCACCCTAGAAGAGATTGCCTAGGACAGTACCTAGTGAAGTTTCGAGTATTTCCATTCCTGGAGACTGCAACCCTTCAGGATAACCTGTGGAGGTGTATCACAGTAAAAACGTTTCTTTTTCTATTAAGATTGTCTTCTGTGCTTTTGGGTGGAGTTGTCTCTTTCATAGATTGCCTCAGCAGGCATTTTGGATAGGAAAGTTGTGTAAATGTCATTAGAAAAGATATTTGTGAGAGGTTGTTTACTTTTTATCCAGCATCTGGATAAAATTCCCCAAGTCCCTAAGTCTCCTTCCTTCTTCTCTTCCTCCTCCTCTGGCTCATAAACTGTATTTCCTAAAAAACCTTCCCAGCTGAAATCTAGTTTAATAGTTTAGGACTGTATCAGAAGGAAAAGATTAGTCTTAAGTATCTGTTGAGGTATTAGCCTATTGGATATTTTTTTCCCCAAAGAAAAAAGACATTTATCAAATGATTGAGGCTAAGGTTTTAATGGTTTCTAAACCAAACAGTTTTAGCAAACAGATGTATGTATCCAAAAGTGATTTAGCATCTGAATAAATTATGGTATGTTTCTCTTCTACACACCTTCTTGGACTATTATATTCAATGTCATATAAACCGCACTTTTGAAATGAAATCTTTTCTGGGATCTGGCACCTGTTGATAGGGAGTCTGTTGACTAAATACATAGAAGCCTTCTTTGGCTAATGAAGCTCCTGAGTGTTAATGCATACTAGCTTTGCTCTAACTTCAGGTATTTCAGGCATCTACTTCTTGATGTTGTTTCTTTCTGTGGCAGAATTCTGGAGAACCTGACTCTTTTAGTTATACAGGATGGTGGCCTTTATGTTTAAAAGAAGGTTCTTATTCATATTTATTCTCTTCTTTTACAGTAACAATTCCCAAAGCGTCAAGGTGCCTACAAGGATCATATATGGTATTTTTAATACTTCTTTTTTTCCATTATTTTCTGAAGGTCAGGTTCTACTACTAAGCTTGACTTCTGCATCTTAGTTTGGTAGTATTTGATATTTTCTTTAATTCTATTCAAACCATTGTAGGAGTGTCAATCCTAATAAGCAAGATCTTGCAGTAGAGCTTGTTAAAAGCAGTTTTGTTGCAGTCATTCTGTGAAAACTGACGTTGACATACAATTCTGTGGTGGAATTTGCAAAAATGAGAAAGCCAAATTAAGAATAAATAAATAGTTCAAAGCTCACAGATTGTCTACTGAGAAGCCTTGTATAAAGCTAAGGAGGTGTACCTCTGTAGTATGCTGTTTTTGGAAAATTGTGGTTGTGTCTGCAGTAAGTCATTCTGTAATTGTTTTTAATTTCAGAAATTTAAATTTCTTATTTTATTTGAGAATTACTTGAGAAATAAAGTTATGGCTCCTGAAAGCAACTGAAAACAGAAAATGGGTTCTTATTTTTAAATTTCTTATTTTCTCTGGCACCTTGTTACATTTCTTTGATGGGCTTGATGTTGTTGGAGGGCAGTGGAAAGATGAAGGTCGAATAATAGTAAGTCATGGTACATCTTGTCTCTATTACTTTTATTAACTGCTGCATTCTATTTCAGGGTTTTATGCTGCTGTCTACCACCTCAAAATATCAAGATCTTCAGTACCTATGTTCTTATTACTCTCAGGAGTTTTTGCTTTTCATTGTTGTTTAAAAGATCTGGCTTGTGTTTTACTTCCATCTTGTTTTCCCTTGTGGTTGTGTATTTTTGTGGGTGGAGATGGAGGATATGCTGTTTTTGCAAAACCTAGTGGCTCCTGGTATAGGAAATTAATCTGGTTTGTTTGTTTCTGTTTTTTTCCATGTGCTTGTTTTGATATTTATTGCGGGTTTTTTTCAGTAAGAGGGATGATATATCTCTGGAAGCTCATTCTATGGGTGGAGTTTCTGAGCCAAGATTACCTTCTTTAGCTTTATTTGCTTTCTCTTTAGTCTTGTGTGTTTCTTGAAACCCCTATTAGGTCTATAGAGATCTGTAGCATATTCCTTGGTGTCTTGCAGAGAAGCTTCTTTTGGTGAAAGATAGTTCATTTGATGTAAAATAATGTGCATTGCTAAATTGATGATTGATGTCCCAACTCTCAGGTTCTAGGATAGACACTTTCATGCCCCCATGTTCTGTAACTGAAAAGATAGGAGTAGTTCTTCCATGTATTCTGTGATAGTAAACTACAGCAAATCCTTGCTTTGAGCAAGACAGTGATTCTGGATTGGATTTTCCATGTCAAACTGACATTTTCATCAAGCAGAGTGTCATATATTGATGGTATTACAGAAAGTTGGAAGAAGCAAGCACATTATCTTCTGCTTTTACTTACGCTATTGGTGATAGTCATGAGACAAATTAGCTTAATTTTGTATTTGCCAGCCTAGGATGTCTCTCTTTGTCGAAAATGCCGTTTTGAATTCAAACAAGTGTCTTAACAGCTTACCCATTATTACTTTCAAAAAACCAAGATGCTGTAAGTCTTCCTTTTACTTATTGCAGCTTTTTGATTTCAAAGGTAATATGGCATGTCTGTCTGCTAAAGTGATACTGTGTTTTACTTACTGAGGACTATATTTTCTAACTTTGTGGTTCTACCAACTGTGCTCTTGATCTCTTTTTTTTTTCTTTTTTTTTTTTTCTTTTTTTTCTTTCCCCTGTGTAAAAATACATGTTGTAGCTCATGTGTCTTTTCAGTCAGTGATAGTAACGCCTAATCCTTTTCTATGTTAGGAATTAAGTATGCCATTGCATGTTACTCTGCCCAAAAAGTAGTCTGCCAACTGGCAGCAGTCTCCAGACCATACTGTTTAGCCAAAGAAACCATACTGGTTTTCAGTTTACAAGTGCAGTTTATCCACTAAATAGTAGTTCACCATTAGTCAAAAAGGTAGGAGCTGATCAGTATAACCTGTTAAAGGTTCTTCTGCAGTTGATTTCACCAGTAGCATTTCAACATTTTTGTAGAAGGTGCTAAATACAAATGAGGAATAAAGAGATCTTCCAGTAGCTGCTGCTGCTTTTGCTTCTGTTTATTACCAGGAATTGGAAAGAAATCTTGAAGGACAATGTATATCTATCTCTAGGCATTTTTGGGTAAAAGAGGATCCAGAAAGGTGGTTGCTACTTTGTGGGAAGTGGAGTGGCAGGGGTTTCTATTGTTTCCTGCCTTGTTTCATGCTGTGTTTCCTGCTTATTATGAAAAGCTGTGCATAGATCTATTTTGGTCTTCATGTTCTGTTTTACAGTGTGCTTGATGAAAAATAACAGCTCTTTGTGGGCAATGGAACTGTCTAGTTTTGATCACTTTCTCTGTCAGGGAGGGTTGTAAAATGTTGTATCTGCCATCACTGATAACAGAAAATATTTCATTAGCTGTAAAAACGGGTCCATTTATTCATTCTGGACCAATTTAATACCCAGCACACCCACTGAAAATAATGTAGCCTTGATACTATGTATTTATATGTAGTTTTAACACCCCCCTCCTTTATTTACTAGGAAACATGAAAAATACATTGACTAACACACCGAGATACTGTGTTGCTTCATAATAGGTGACTAGATATTGTAGATACATGTTGATGATGCGTATTAGAAATGTTCCTAATATCTGAGAATTGAGAGTAACAATAAATTGGAATACCTCAAAAAACACAGAACCTCAAAGAACATAGTTCTTCCATGATGGTGTATTTTTATGTTGACTTTGTTCTTATCTGTTCAACTTTGTGACAAAAATTGAAATTTTTATAAACTAGGAGTATGAGAATTTGAATGTGTCAGTATTTCTTGACAACTGATATCTATACTATTCTTTTGAAAGAGAGCAAAGTGCTTAGTGCTTCCATTCATTAAATGCTAATTTCCTTTATTAGTGATTAAGCCAAGACCACATATTTATTGGTGCCAAGGGATGCCAGCTGTTTTGTGCTTTGGGTGGTTTTTTTGTTATTTTATACTCTTATATTTTGCCATAAGGAGTGTAAATCACATGAGTCTGATTAGTACAGGTGTTGTTAATAAAGGCCTTACTCTGTATTATATACAGAAGTAGTGTTGTTGAATACCCAAGTTTATTTTCTTCAACCTTTTTTTTTACTTCTGACAAATTTTAAGTAAGTGTAGTAAGTTTTTTCATACCTACTACTCCTTTTGAAAAATACTGGTTTAGAATATAGAAGTAAAACTGAAGATTAACTAAAAGTGATCTTTCAAAAAAAAAAAAGCATATTTTTATGCTTCATAAAGTAGTTCCCTATTCACAGTATGACTAAGTGTGAATATTTCAGATTGGCCCATCATGTCAGTGGGAATTTAAAATTTGGTGTAGAGATTACAGAGTCATAGAATAGCTTTGGTTGGAGAGACCTTTAAAGATCATCAAGTCCAGCCACCCTGGCCAGGAATCCCTTTTGTAGGTCATGCTGCTTATGGTGGGGTATTTATGGTGGTGATCAGTGATCACCCACAGTGTTTATGGTGGGGTGATCAGTGATGGGAGATCTGCAGTCTTCTTCTGTTGCTACACCACCTTGTTGTCCACACTTTCTTTATGTCCAATCTGAATCTTAACACAAATTTAAATATTTTTAAATTGAAAAGGTACAATTTAAAATTGTTGAACCTTCTCCTGTTACTTATGGCATTGGTAAAGTCTGTCTTTCTTATAAGTGCCCTTAAGGTATTGAAAGGCTCCAGTCAGGAGCCTTGTATGCATTTTCCAGGCAGCACAAACCCTCTTTTCATCCTGTTTTCAGAGGAACAGTGTTCCATGCCTCTGGTAAGTTTTGTGGCCCTGCTATGGACCTGTGCTGACGTGACCATGTCTTTCTGGTGCTGGGGTCCACAGAGCTGAGCACCATACTCCAGGTAGGGTCTCACAACAGCAGACAAGAGAATTGTCTCCCATGGCACGGTGGGCCCAGGATACAGTTGGCTTTCCGGTGTGCAAGTGCATGCTGCTGGCTCATGCTCAGCATTTTGTCCAGCAGTTCATGCAAGTCCTTTTCAGCAGTACTCTCAATCAATTCATTCCACAGTCTGCATTGATAATGGGCTTCAGGTGCAACACCTTGCACTTTGCCTTGTTTCAACTTTGAGATTTTCAAGCCTGTTGATACTACTGCCTCTGGATGTCATCCCTTCCTAGTGGTTTAGAAACTGCAGTGCTCATCTTGGAACTGTTTATATCATGATGTAATTAGGAAGATACTAAACAGTACTGGTTTCAGTATAAACCCTGGAGAAACACTACTTATGATTGGTTTCCCTGTGGACACAGAGCTGTTAACTGTAAACCTTTGGACAAGGACATAGAGCCCATTCCTTATTCATCTAATAGTCCATCCATCAAACCCATTAGCTTTCCGATGAAACGGCAAGAATGTTGTGGGGAACTGTATCAAAGGCTTTACGGAAGTGTAGGTAAGTGATACCCATAGCTCTTCATTTATCCACAGATGTAATCACTCAATTTATAAGATCATATCCACAGATGTAATCACTCAATTTATAAGATCATTAGATTATCAGGCATGCTTTGCCCTTGGTGAAGTATGTTGCCTGTATCTAAGTACCTTCTTGTCATCCGTTCAGCTTGTCATTGTGTACTGGTTTGAAAGCAAACCAGTGAGACATTCCAAGTCAGAACTATAATTTAATAATAAAATGAAAATAAGGGCAATCTTACAGAAACAGTGGCAGAATCAGGATACAACCTGACACCCTGTTGGTCAGGGTGGTGGTAGCAGTCTCATTAAATGGTGGATGTGGTTCTGTTGAGGCGGTGATCCTGTAGGAAGGGTCTGGTGTTTCTCTGAAGGTCCAGTGATGGTTACAGAGCTCCTTTACTCTGAGAATACAGTAGGTAGGGCTGCCATGTGTCCTGGTGAGGGTGGCCACGACAATCCTTTAAAACTTTAGGGTCCCCTGATGCCAGGGCAACAGAGGTGCAAATAAAAGGAGCGGGTTCAATGAAGTGCCCAAAACCAAAAGAACTTTAATAAGAAAAACGAAGTAGGGACAATGCCCATAATAGAAGCATAACCTTTTTACGAGGTGACTTGATTAACATGTTAACTGCTATAAACCCTTAAACAAGTGCATTCCAGCAGGGCTGACTCCTGTACCTGTGGTGTTCCAAACTTCAGATTATATCCAGGTAGGATTGCTTGGTTCCTCCCCCTGGGTGGAGCATCTCACAATGAGCTGATGTAATTTTTGAGTCATGCAGTGAGGCTTGACAGCCCATTAACAGAGATGGCCCCCTGGAGGGAGTTAATCAGGGACGAGTCATGGAGGAGGTAAGGAACATTGCCACACCTGTTTTAATAGCTTGTGAGGATGGTAATAAAATACATACTTTTGGTTACAACTTATATTGTAACCTAAGGCACATAGTTCCCAGGACCACCTGTTCTGTGATTACACTGGGCACTATGGTAATGCCTGCAGATTGGTGGTTCCCATGTTCCTTTTTACACTTTTTAAAAAAAGACATGGAATTCCCTTTCTTCCAATTACTGGGGGACTTTGCCTCACTGCTGTAGGATAGGCATGAGTGAAAAAAAGTACCTGTTATGGGAACAACACACCACTGCTTTTGGCAATAAAGGAAGTTGCATTTTACCTGCAGAGATTTAGGCTCTTGTAGTTTTTCCAAATATGCTGAGGAGGCCTCTAGAACACATTTTGATGTCTCTGTTTATATCCTGGTTTAGGACAAATTTGGGAGAAAACTTCTGAATGGGGTCCCTCCAGAAAGCAAATTCAAGTGCTTTGGGAAAAAAGATTTCTTTGGAGAAAAGTGAAAAAAATTGTTTATTTAACAGAAATTGAATAATATTAAACAATAAAATCTCTCCCTGTTCAAAGAGATGGCAAATCCAGAAAAAGTCCTTTTCATGTGGTATAGTTTGGCTCGCTCATGTTCTTATCAGTCCCACCGGTGCTGAACAGTGCCAAGGCTCAGGCCCCAGTGGCCCCACCGGTGTGAGCTCCCGGGGTTTGTCTGGGTCTTCAGTCCAGAGCAGGTTTCAACAGTTCCAAGAAAAAAGAAAACAGTCTGGGGAGCTTCTCTGCCTCAGCTGGCTGAAAACTAGCTAACAGCAAAGGAGAGCTCTGTCCCTCTGTCTGTCCATGCTGCAGACAGCACAGTCCAGAGAAGGATGTGGGACAGCGAGTGCCATTTCTGAACACAAACTGCGGCTCCTGCTTCCCCCACTTCGCTCTCAGAACCAGCCTTAAATGTGCAGAACTTTACATCCAGTGTAAACAGAACAGACAACTGGGGATACAAACATCATAAACTCAGCCCAGGACAGTTCACCATGTTGTTACAGATTCAACATGGAGGAGAATGACTGAGTGTAGCTGGTTTAGTTTTCCCATCTAATTATTTTGGTTTGGGAAGGAGGTTCTTGAAGAGTGACTTCAGATAGTCTTGTCCTTTGCTGTTATTGAGAGTGCGCTGTTTCAACTATTTGAAGTTTAGCTCGGAACTTAAAATGTGTGCAAATATTCTCCTATTTGTCCACAATTCTACAGGATCTGGAAAATACTACAGTGTCATTTCAGGCACAGTTGAAATAATGGACCTAAATTGCACTTGGTTAGTTATGGCAATGCAGAGGGAATATACCCAAAAGTATGCATATGGTTATATTGTCTGTAAAATAAAATTATTTATGCATTCTCATATTCTTGAATTCATTAAAAATCATAAGTGCATTATGATTGTATTAATCCAGAGCATTACATTTAAAAAAAATAACTCTGAGAGCTGTGGCAAAACTTTTAAATTATCCTGTGCTCTCAAATAAGTGATGGAATTGTTACAAGAATACTCAGAATTGTCATGCTTCCAGAACACAGTTATGTGACTTAGAAAAATTCATGTCCTACCCAATTCTGTGCATCTTCCATCTAAATTACTTATATGACTGCAGTTAGTTTTAATTGAAGTAGTTTAGAAAGTTATAGCTTGGAATGAAAGCTGGCAGATCCCTTATCCTGTCCTTGATCCAGAAAGGGATTAAAAGAAAGCTTTTGATTTCTCATGTTTTCTCCGTTTTGAAAAGGTTTCCTGCATTAATTAAGTGCTGCATCTCCAATATTGAGTACTCAGAAAAGCAACTGCTCGTAGAAGGTTGTTCCAGTGAATGAAGGGAAACACAGCATCATGTGTGCTCACTGGAGAAGAAAGTAATTTACTTTTTGCTATTCAGTGAGGCTGGCATTGTGTGTAATAGGTCTATGTCTATCTAATAAGTTCTGTGTACCAGTGAA